CTCTTTGTTGAAATTTATGGTGGAGAAATGTTGCTTCAAGTTTAATATGAGTTAAAATTCAGATGAAGTTATCAGATAAGCTAATTAAGTGAAATGGTATTGCACCGTATAGATGTTGAACACAACAGGTAATAGAGATGATCTTATAACAGGTTGTGACATATATACAATAATTTCTGTGTTCATATTACCAAATCACTTTAATCCACATATCTGCAGTTACAATCTAGTTTATCAGTCAAAAGTCTAGTTTTTCAGTCAAAAGTCTAGTTGTGACACAGCTGCCTCTTTTACTGTCTATGATAAACTACCCAGGTTCTATTTTATTTGTCACAAGGGTCGAAAGATGGTCGTGTCGTTAGTGGTGATGATGATGCACGCTTAGCACTCGCTGCATGCTTCTCACGTGACTCTGCTTGTATAATAAAGTGTCTGGAAACAACTATTCTTGTCTATACTTTCTTTATTATGATGGTGCAACAATGTCACATATAACATCAAATGACATTCTGAATAACGCTGAATTATCTCTGTGACTAAGTACTCGTAGAATCATGTTGTGTTCTTCTTCTTTATTTACTTTGTTAACTGGTTCTATTGTTTCTAACTGCCACCGGGCTCCTAGTGAAGGTTGGTTCAACAGGTTTTATCTTCTACTTATAAAATTCATTCGGAGATTTTCAGGAAGTCCGGCCTATATGTAGTTCTTCTAGTCTACTGTGCTCCGGCCTCTTCTTCATCTGTCTCTGAGTCCGTATCTGTCCCCGAATCAGTGTCTAGGCCTGAATCTTGCTGGACCCAAGGGTGGCGGAAAATGTGAAACTCTCTTACTACAAATCGGTATACAAGAGTCGATCCGTCGTCCTGCGTAAAAACAATTGTGACCATTCGGAATGGGCCACTGTTTCTGACAGTAATCCTTATCGAATACATATATATATATCTTTAACTATCTATTTATCTACACTTTCTAATCAACCTTCCTTCCCTGTTTAACTGATCGGTACTTCGCTCTACTATCTATCTCTGTCCCTATCTCTAGCCTGTCCCTTGCCTGTCCTCTGCTGTCCTCTGCTGTCCTCTTTCTTCTGCCTCTGTCTATCTCCGTCTGTCCTAGTCCGTTTCGTGTCTGTGTCTGTCTCTAAGGTTCCGGGCAATCGTTTATAAAGGGGTTACTAGCCTGCTCCCAGGGGGCTCCTATCCCTCGTTGTTTTGCAGATTCTGCAGCGACCTTAGCTCGCCGGGTCAGTGGAATTTTACCTAATTGTTTCGGTGCAGGACGGGGAGAGTCACATGATGTCTAGTCAGACGACTCGAAGTACGTGGGAAACAAGAGCAGGGACCTAGGGGGGATATAAGTGCTTGTTAAGCACTATGGAAAAGTTTTAACAATAAAGGTGAAGGCCACAAGGGGTCTTGTCATGCAAACAGCACAACACTAAAAAAGGGGATAGGGGTAATGACTTTGTTACATAGTTTATCTGTCAAAAGGTATTCCACAGTTCATCAGAAATTACATAATTTATGTGAAGTCTGCACATACAGACATTTGTGAGATCTGTTGTGACAGTGACTTAACTTTCTTTCTTCTTCTTAGTGTTCATCTGCTGTAATCTTCAGCAGAAATTCCAGGTGGTTCATCCACTTTTGGGCAGTGGTCTTATTCCAGAACTTGATTTGTATGCACATCTGTTTTACAGATTTGGCTTATTTGTATATAGACTGTTGATTCCTCACCTCCCAGACAGATGTACTAACACTAAGAAGGAAGTATTCCTAATTAGTTGCCTTGATATAAGCTCTAAAATCTCGGATATATGTTGAATAGGAAGGCTCACTGATAGGTTGGCTGGATTAGCTGGATCCGCTATCCCTACTGACGGTCAACCTATGGAACATGTCAATATTATAAATGCCCTCAAAGAAATGGGAAGAGTGGAGGACTTTGGGGTCAGTGAATCTGCATCACTCGCCATAATGATAGACTTGGCAGTTAAGATCAGCATTGCAATAAACGAGACACACACCAGGCACATCAGAGGACTTGTTAATCAACATAGAACTGGCACTATTAGCCACCAGACGCTGGGGTTCATTCTGAGGAGAGGATCTGAGCACCTATGGACATGTCCAGAGTGCAGTAATGATTACACAACTAACTTACTGACTGACTGACTAAGTTCCCACTTGGGTTCCACGACCCCATTTTAGGGAAGAACAAAATATGCATAACTCGCTTGTAAAGCGCATTGTATAAAGCATCTAATTAGGAGTTTGTTGAAATCAGAAAAGGCTAAAAAGGCAAAAGGCTAACCTGGGGCCCCCACATTGAAGACACCCAAAGGAAAGCTACCCTGAAACTCAGACTTATGAAGAAACTTACTGGAACAAGCTGGGGTGCGGATGTCAACACTGTACAACAAGTATACACAAGTATAAGTACGACCAAAACTGGAGTATGGCATGGGAGCATACTCCACTGCAGCTAAATCAAACCTACACAAACTGGATAAAATACAGAACACTGGTCTCAGAATCATCACTGGAGGCATGAGAAGCACACCAATTAATGAGCTGGAGGCAACCTGTGGCCTCGAGAGCTTGAGCCTTCGAAGGGAAGAAAAGGTGCTTACCCTAACAGAAAAATTTAAACGCATGAACAACAATCCCATGCACAGAATAGCAAATAACTTAACCAAAAACCGACTGAAAAGACAAAGCTTTCACCATCTATCAAAATTATACTACACAAAAAACAGTGTCATCCCTTCTAAATATCCTTCAACATGGGAAATAATCCAGGCATACAGCATAGACCTACAGCCTAAATTTACAGTCACAACAACAATTCCAGACAAAGACAGAAAGGCTGAAGAGTGTGACCTAGTACTGCGTGCAAAGACCCTTGAACATGTCTACAACTGTTATCCAAAACCCGAATGGACACACGTTTACACCGATGGATCATTGGAGGGAGCAGGCAAAAATGGAGGAGCTGGATCGGTCATCATGCTGCAAGATGGGACCACAGTAGAAACGTCATGTGCCTCCAGAAGACTCTCAACAAACTTCAGAGCAGAGCAGCAAGCAATTATTGATTCAGCCAAAGTGCTCGAGGAAAGAAAAATTAAAAACAGCAAAATTGTTTTCCTTTGTGACTGCATGTCAGTCCTCCAGACTACTCATAGGGACCCACGGGACAACATGGAAAGAGAACTAACCCGTCAGCTAAACAGACTCACAGAAAACAATCAAATTGTTCTCCAGTGGATCCCGACTCACTGCGGCATACCAGGAAATGAGTTAGCAGACAGACTTGCAAAGATTTGGAACAAAGGAGAAACAACACGCCCATTCATTGTCATTACCAGAAATCAAAACACTTATCAAAGGAAAATACACGGGATTGTGGAGAGAACAAATTAACAGTAAACATCCACAAGACCACATGAGCAGACTCAACAGAAAGCAACATACAACAATTTTCCCTCTACGAACAGGACACTGCAGGCTCAACTACCACATGCATAAAATAAAGATTGTACAGTCCCCCCAGTGTGCCTGTCAAACAGGACCCAAACACCCCAGCACATTCTGCAGACCTGCCCACTCTATCTGCAACTTCGAAAAGACACCTGGTCTCAAGAGCAGAGTGTGCAGAGCAAGCTGTGGGGAACCATGCAGGACCTGCAGCTGACATGCGAGTTCATAGAGGCAACTCACCTGATGGTCTGATCTGAGCATACGAAACTGAACGCAAAGAAGAAGAAGAAGGTTCTACGACCCCATTTTAGGGAAGAAAAAAATTTGCATAACTCGCTTGTAAAGCGCATTGTATAAAGCATCTAATTAGGAGTTTGTTGAAATCAGAAAAGTTGGCCAAAAAGGCTGAGATATAGATGGTCAGTTGGCAGGTTAGTGACAATTTATTTGGAAGCTGCAAAGCTGAGGTTTTACAGAGAAATGATGTCAATACCCTGGACAGATAACAAGAGTAATGAAAATGTCTTGAACGAAACTGACTCACGAAGACCCATATCAAAAAGAGACAGTCTACATTCTTTGGTCATGTTATAAGGAGAAAACTGGAGTACATTGTGACAGTAGGAAAGTTGGAGGGGAGGAGAGGCAGAAGGAGACCAAAACAAAAAGGTGCCTAGACAGTTTGATTAATAGCATGGAGGATCATATGTGTCAGAGTTGATTGAAAATACACGAGACAGACGGTTGTGGATAGATATAACCACCAACGCCACACGGCATGGACTTAAAGAAGAAGCCATAAACCATAACACAGTGTGCCATGCACTCTTTTAAGGGTGAATGCAGAAAGAAGACTGCGACATGTTTCAGCATTGTCATAAGTTGGCCTGTAGCTGTCAGTATTGTATGTGAGTGATAATATATTCTCCAGATATGACATTGTTTTCATAGCCACTATTTTTTTTTCAGCAATTAACTGCATTAATTCTGCAGGTTGTGCTTATTTGTGAATGATTTTTTTCCAGGTTTCAGCAGTGACCAGATAACTGTCTGTTAACTAAAGGTTTAAAGTCAAGAAGCTCGACTTCATTGCACCAGGTTTGATCTTGTATGGTTCAGTCTCGCAAATAAAATAATTGGTCAGATGGCACCAGTTTTACAAAATAAACCGAAGGTAATGGGTTCGTTTAATGGCGGCGCCGTTCAGTTCATGAGGGAAATTTTTACAGAGATCCCATAAGGATTGTCACCAGAGCTACGGAGGTTGTGCTCTGCAATGCTTTCGGCAGGCAGGTATGCAAAGAGAGACCGAGCCATATGGGATAAAACCCGGTGCTGTGAAGTCGATCCTCTCACCTTTCCTTCTCCTTTCCCTTTCCCATCACTTATAATGTCTCAGAACTACTGAAACAAACACATTTGTTTACATTGTATAAACTGTTTTTATGTTTCAGAAGTAGCATAGATCATAATGTTCTGAGACACATTGACATTGCGAAATGGATGTCCGTCCCAAGGACAAAGATTTGAAAGGATGGTTGAAACGCAAAGGCGGGCGAATGAACTCTTGGTCTCGCCGGTGGGTGGTGTTGAAAGACCAGCTTCTCTTCATATTTCTGAAAGAGGAGGACAGAAAATATCAAGACTGCATCATTCTTGATGGGCAGATAATAGTTGAACCACCTCCCGACCCAGGTGAACCCAGACATGGTTATTTTGATATTGTAACAGGTATGTATTGTTTCTTTGTTTAATTGATGGATACTTGTTACATTTATGTGTTTACACTATGCCTGTCAATATCTTCTTTTTTGTCTGCCCTTTATACCCCAATGGAGCATTGGCCCTTAACCAACTAGCCCTAGATTGTCCTCTCTTTTGCTGTTATGTGTAACTCCTTTTATGTCTTCCTTTTATTTTCACCTTATTCTTTAATGTCTTTTTAAAAAAACAATCAAGTGCATAAGTTTAAGAAGTAATTTGAATTACAAGAAAGTTTAAAAAAAAAAAAGTTTTTATTTGTTTTATCCTATGTATTCCAGTACAAGAACATTCAAGTTATATTACTGTCATGTTTTTTCTGTTTGTATCCTTTCCTGGGCCAGCATCTTTTCCTTGCCACTGTGTCAACATCCTGAGATAAAATTCTGGAACCTAGCTTGAACCACAGTGATTTATTTTGTAAAGGATCACTTTCAGACATGTAGTCTAACTGGAGGTCATTATTATCATCATCCTAGGTACAATCGATTGATTGGTACTTTTCCATCTTTACAGACAATAGTGTTATATTGCACCATAAGAAGTCATTGGACTCACACCCCATGGCGATGGCGAGTGTGACTAGCAAGACCTGCCCACGTTAAGAAAGTCCAAAATTATAGCGTGGAATTTTGGGGCTGTTGTTGTCAACATTTATGTTTAGTCTGTTTCTTCTCAGACGCTCAGCTCTCATCCTCTCTACAGTCATTTTTTCCTTTATTCTCATTCCTTTTCTGATGTGTGCCCTCCACACAACGTGGTAAATGGCATTTTGCTCCCCCAGTCCACCTCCGTACCTGTATTATTCATTTCCTGTTTGCACACATCTTTATATCGTAGTAAAGGTCAACCTCTACATCTTCTACCAGTTTCTAATTTACCATAGAGGATGTCCTCCATTATCCAGGTGTGATCTAGTCACCTGATCTTTCGTAGACTGTGTATTAAGATCACAGTTGTAATGCCTGCTCTTTCAAATATCTCAGTATCTGTGATCTTTTCCTGCCACTGAATGCCAAGTACTCTTCTTAGGCAACGCATGTGAAAGCTATTAGCTGTTTCTCTTGGTGCGAATATGTTGATCAAGTTTCACTGCCATAAAGCAGAATGCTGTATATCTGTCTCGCCTTTCCCCTGATGTGAGTCGGATATACAATCAGACAGTTACTGGTACCATCGGAATTTTAACTCTTCGCTTGCTGCTGAAGATGGGGACGTAGCTCTTATGGGAGTGTCCTGAGTGCGGTGATGTCGATTCCTAATTCAGCATTCAACAAAGCAGAGTGCTGAGAATGCACGCCTGGTAGACAAGAGATTTTGTTTTAATCCTGAGCTTTCTTTTCTCCCAAACTCTTCTTGTCAATCTGCTCATTGTTTTTGCTGCCTGACCGATCCTGATGTTGATTTCTTGGTCCTGTGATAGTTTGTTATTCACTGTGGATCTCAGATCGGTAAAATGGTCAACTGTCTCTAGTTCTTCACCGTTAATGTAGACTGCATGTCTGTCATTAACACCTTGCATCATAACCATTGTCTTCTTTTTGTTGATTGTTAGTCCAAATTCACAGCACGCATCAGAAAATGCAGACAGTAAACATTGCAGCACCTCCTCTGAGTGTGTGGTTATTGCTGCATCATCTGCAAACAGCAGCTCTCTGATAAGTAAATTTCTTATCCTGGTTTTGGTCTTCAGCCTGCGAGCATTGTAAAGGCTGCCATCAGATCGAGAATGGATTAATATATCACTCTCCTGATCTTGAAAGGCATGTTTCAAAAGATGTGAGAAGTATATTCCAAAAAGGGTATGAGCAAGTACACATCTCTGCTTCACTCCATTGTTGATCACAAACCTCTCCAATGTTATCAAAGTTGATTGTACCTTTCATACCTGTGTGGAACAACTCAATAATGCTCAGTAGGGTAGGTGGACACCCAGTGTCATTTTCTCAAATTCATATCTGGCACCCCTGGCCCCTTTCACAAATGTTTTTTGTGTGGTATCATCAGAATTGAAACTCCAAGTTGGCTGCTGCAGATAGGGACGGAGCACTTATGGGAATGTCCTGACTGCTGGGATATCTCTTTTTAACTCAGCTCTGATGCTCGTTTTATAGTTGTGGTAGTAACTAAAACAGTGGCCCTTCTGGAAACATAGACGTTCAGCCAGGTATGCTTTCTCAGTGACGTAATAAGAGTTCTCAGAAAGATCCAGGTGGGTTGGTCTTCAAGACATTGGCTGGATTCACCGAGGACAGCACAGCTAAAAAAAAAAATGGGCTTCCCTTTTGTATCAGGGAATGAAAGCATAAGAGGAAAAAGATTTTGAAAAAAAAAAAAAATCCCACCTCACGTTAGATGCTGCTGTGGTGTAGTGGCTAGGCACTTGCATGTAGATTTAAAGCTCGTAGGTTCACATCCACGTGGTGCTGGACGTCCTTAAAAAATGACCTTGGCTCCCAGGTCGACACAGCCTTCAATGGATACCAACTAAAAATCCTGGGAGGTTGAGGCCGCTGGCACGATACTGATCGCAAGAACCAATTGGTCTCTAAAATATAGGTCTGGCCCTACATATCCAGTTCGTCAGGCGTGGAAAAGAATCCTTTAATTTACGTTTTCCAACACTAGACAGTGGGCTACTCTAAAACCATAGAGGGGACCTAATATTTCTTTGATTTTTGGTTGAACAGAGTTTCAGTGATTTTCTCCTGTTTGATTTCCCTCCTTGAGGTGGTAACGCTGCAGAAGACCAGTGGCCTGACCCATTGAGCCTACCTGTGAAGTTGCTGTGGAAAAGTTAATAAGCAATGGACCTGGCTGACATACTAGCATTCATCCTCTCATTTATACGATTATAGTCTTGCACTACTAAGTTTATAGAAAAATAAGTCAGGCAAGTTACACATGCTTGGCATTAATATATGCCAGCATGCACATTCACATACAGGTTTTGAACTGGCTGAACTGAAGTCTGTTTAAGGATTTATTATGGAACTATGTGAACGAGGAATTAAGCATGGCACCGGCAAGGAGGGACGAATGAGAGGAAAAGATCCGCATTTGTATAATCAGTGTGCTACGGGAACAGTTAGCATCTTCACTTTACGTCATTTGCTGCGGGAGACGGAGCATCTGTTGGTATGCCCGGGGTGTGCTATGATGTTGATTCTTAAATCAGTAAGCATTAATTATGGGATTAGATCTGAGATATTCACAGAAGTATGAAGATTTGTGGAAATCAAAGGGAAACTACCACATTATTATTCAAAGAAACGTATTATGGAGAAGAAATAGTGACATTTTAACAGATCTGAACGTCAAGGAAAATTGGCTAATTAACATCATCTTGTCTCGGTAACAGACATTTTTTGGTAATATCAAGTGCCATGACGGATTGGAAAAATAATAACAGGAGGCATGGTACCAGGAAGGAGGGGCAGGTGCCGACCAACTTGAAGATGGGTACAGGATATAAAAGACTCCTTAAAAAATGAAAGTACACAAGGCGGAAGAGCTGGCGAGAGACCGAGTTTCTTTCAGTCAGACCGTGATGAGAGTGAGGCTCTGCAAAGGACCTGCTACATGACGATTTGCAGTCACACTTTGTCATAAAGATTGCTCATATAAAGTAATGGAAACATTTTGTAATATTTTAAAATAAGCAAACTACTATAGTGGAAGATCTGGTACTTAATTTTAATTCACCCTAAACAAACCTGGTACCTATATTAAGGGTAGCTATATTTAGCACTTATGTCTTTAACACATGAAGTCTTTGGACTATCCCCGGAACTCCCAGATTTCCTTTTTTTGGGATGAATTAAAAGGGAAGTACCAACAATTTTGCTTTTTGAATAATTAATAATTTTGCTTGTATTACAAAATATATTTGTAGGTCATGACAAAGGTTCAACTGAAACTTTATCATTGTGTGCTGAAACTGAAGAAGAGAAAAAGATCTGGCTGCATGCCTTAAAAAGAGCCTTGTATGCGAGTAAAGGAGGAGGTAAATACAATATTTAAATGGTCTCGTTTTAGGCAATGCTACCTCAGTAGACTACTTCTACTACTGCTGCTGCTCCTGCTACTGCTGGTGCTACTACTACTACTACTACTACTACTACTACTACAACTACTACTACTACTACTACTACTACTACTACTACTACTACTACTACTACTACTACTACTACTACGACTACTACTACTACTACTACTACTACTTCTACTACTACTACTACTACTACTACTACTACTACTACTACTACTACTACTACTACTACTACTACTACTACTACTACTACTACTACTACTACTACTACTACTACTACTACTTCTTCTTCTTCTTCTTCTTCTTCTTCTTCTTCTTCTTCTCCTTCTTCTTCATTTTCTTCCTCCTCCTCTTCTTCTTCTTCCTCCTCCTCCATGTCTTCCTCTTTTTTTCTTCTTTTTCTTCTTCTTCCTCCTCTTCTTCCTCTTCTCCTCTTCCTCTTTCTCCTCTTCCTGCTCCTCTTTCCTCTTCCTCCTCTTCCATCTCTTCCTCTTTTTCTTCTTCTTCTTCTTTTTCTTCTTCTTTATCTTCGTGCTGTTTGGCCTCTGCTTCTCTTGTCAGGTGCACTGCCCTCCATCACTATTATTTCCAGTCTATTGTGATGTTTGATATGGTCACATTATTTTATTTCCTGAGACAAGATGCTGTTTGTGAGCCAGTACTACTCATTATTTAGATCTTTCAGGATGTCAGTATTTTTGTTCTTCTTCGTCCATGGTATTCTTAGAATCTTTCTATAGCATTTCAGCTCAAGATCCTACATTTTCTTCTTTAAACGATTGTAAGAAACTCCACGCCTCAAATCCATTAGACAGTGCAACAAAATAAAAATTTAATATTTCAAGACATTTTGTTTGTTCTTTTGTAAATTTAATGGTTTCAGTAATGTAGCTTCCACGGCCAACTCTAGATATAAATAGGCCAATTGGGTCAACAGGGATTCCCGTGCTTGTGCAAGAATTGAGTCCCTCTGTGTTAACAGTTTTTATCGAGGAGATGTATAAACAAATTAAACTACAGTTTCATTAATTTTCTACATATTTTATAGAACTATACGTCATTTTTAAGGTAAATAAGTGTGCCAATTAAATATAACAATAAAGGCTCTTACAGACAAACAAAAATGCTTTTGCTACAGTCAACATGAACATAAACATCAATAACGTTTAGATATAAACTACAAGTTGTTCCAGCAAAAGTAAAGAAATATCAGTGCGGGGGTGTGGGGGGGGGTGTGACCTTTGTATAATTATACTGTTATTTAATAATTAGTAAAAAAGCACAATCAGTATGAAATTGATATGTGCAATACTTTTTTCACCCAGAGTAGTTTTCTTAACAGTACTTATAGCACTACTAAATATGTATCCTCAAGGTACAAACAGCACAAACAAATTTGTCCAGTTTCATCTTGTTGGATGAAATCAACTCCTTATCATTGCGAATTTTTTGGTAACTGTTTTAAAAAAACATCACACATATTTCTAATTACTGCATGCAACAACGTGTATAAGTATCATGAATGGTATATTATTTTATAAGTAATTAAAGCAAATTAAAAAATACCATATAACTGCAAATTGCTGAGCAACATACACATATCAATTTACAAAAATGAACACAGACCGTACAACTGCAAATATGCATAAGAAGTGGATGAACAACCAGAAGTTTCCGCAAGAGTTTACAGCCAGTGTCCGCGATGCAAAAGCCAATTTACAAAAATTAACACAGACCAAGCAACTGCAAATATGCATAAGAAGTGGATGAACAACCAGAAGTTTCGGCAAGAGTTTACAGCCAGTGTCAGCGAAGCATCAGTCAAATGGTTAAGGATTAATATTATTAGTGTACTTCTACAACATATAATTATACTGTTAGTCAACAATTAGTAAAGAGGCAAAGAGTGACTTGCTGCGAGAAGTTAGTTAGTAAATAAAATATAGTTTTATGCACTTACCCAGAGCTCCGAAATATCTCGAATCAATTTATTCACAATTTGATTTCTACATTCAAAGTAGAAAAAGAATGAACAGCCAGTTCCCAAAAGTCCAAACTACTGACTAGAAACAGTGACATGACACACACATCACAACACGACTGTCTTCCGTGAATTATAATTAAAATTGCTGTATATCCACTTCACAATATACGCTTGTAGATTTGTAATGCGAATACGTTTAGAACACAGGACTTTGTAAGCATATTAAAATGTCACACAATGCAACATGGAAACGATTTCAGTAACTTATTTTGGGGGGGGACTCCTAAAAAATGTACCGTGATTCAGTTGTCAGGACTGAATATACAGCCGGATGTGGTAGCTTCTAACCGGGGTAAGTTTCGGACATCCTAGGGTGGAATTTGTCTTAAACTAGTCTTTGATAGTCTAGTTCAAGAGTGACATTCTAGGAAGTTTGAAAGCATTGTGACTGGTCCAGCAAACCGAGAGTGGCTCACTAAGTGCTTGTAGAAAATAAAGAGATCTCATGAACCGACTAGAATGAAAGGGACATTAGCCCTGATGCCACGAGGCATTCCAGGAGCAGAGAAAAGAAGAAAAAGTAATGTAGTTCAGACAAGAGCTGTTCTTCTTCTGCCTTTATCCCCCAGTGAAGCCAAGGCTCTCAACCAGCCTAGGCTTACATTTATATATACACAAAATACTCACAAAATAAGTAAACAGGCTCGGTATTATCTATTTTGACTTAAATTTAATATATACAAAACACTCACAAAATAAGTAAACAGGTTCTGTATTATCTATTTTGACTTACATTTATATGTGCACAAAACACTCACAAAATAAGTAAACAGGCTCCGTGTTATATATTTTGACTTACATTTATATGTGCACAAAACACTCACAAAATAAGTAAACAGGCTCGGTGTTATATATTTTGGCTTACATTCATATATACACAGAATACTCACAAAATAAGTAAACAGGCTCAGTGTTATATATTTTGACTTACATTTATATATACACAAAACACTCACAAAATAAGTAAACAGGCTCGGTGTTTTATATTTTGGCTTACATTCATATATACACAGAATACTAACAAAATAAGTAAACAGGCTCGGTGTTATATATTTTGACTTACATTCATATATACACAAAACACTCACAAAATAAGTAAACAGGCTCGGTGTTTTATATTTTGGCTTACATTCATATATACACAGAATACTAACAAAATAAGTAAACAGGCTCGGTGTTATATATTTTGACTTACAAGTAAACAGGCTCAGTATTATTTATTTTATAAATAACAAAAATTAACAAACTATAATTCATGTAGGCATATTACTACTATTATGGTATGCATTTGCAAGATAACAGCGGCTTTTAAAAGTCTCAACAAAATATGAAAATCTCATTTATACAGTTTAAAAAATCTAGCTATGTAATTTTTAGTCCTAATGTTTTTTTCAATTTTAGTTGGAGAACTACTAAAAACATGGAACTGAAGTTAAAAACATTTGAAAGCAAATGGCTGAGGAGATTGATGAACACTGCATAGCATGAATTCAAGAAAGGGAAAGAAATCAGAGAAATGTCTGGACAGCCGCTGATTTCAACATTTATAAAACAAAGAAGGGAGACAAAGCGGATACAGAAATCTCAGACAGGCACTGAAATGGGAAATAAATACACTGAAGAAGTGAGGAAGGCTGAGATAAATTCTACAATTAACATTAATGAAAGACTAGAGATGCTTGTTTGGGAAAGAACGGAATGAAGGAATTTACTGCGAGCCTGATATGACATCTAAACACCACAGTGGGCTGTTGTTGAGGCTTACTACTTAACACATTTTCAATCTTATTTTTATAAATTAAATTTAAAAAATAATAAAAAAGCCAAATTATGAATAAAATTCTTAAATGGTAATCTCAAATGTCTAGAAACCCTTAGTTACCAGGGGATCTGGCTGATGCTCAACACTTAAGGAAAAGGGGAGATGGATATACAGTCAGACAGTTATTGATGTCATCGGAATTGGAACTCTTTGTTTGCTACTGAAGATGGGGACAGAGCACTTATGGGAGTGTCCTGCATTATATAATGTCAGTTCATTAATTCAACATTCAATGCATTAAAATGAGCACACAGAAGATCCTTACATTACACTCAATCACCTTAATGAGAAAACTGGTGTAAGAGAGGGAGAAGAAGAAGAAGAAGAAGAAGAAGAAAAAGACTGATGATATCTTATTAACAAACAAACATAAATTATTTATTTTAGCTTTGTTCAGTCAGTCTCTGGATGAAATCCTGTACTGGGAGAGACTTTCTGGAAGACCAGTATGCATACCTTACATTGTCAATGAATGTGTTGAATACCTGTACAAGTATGGGCTTGATGTGGAGGGCATCTTCAGGTTAGTGTTTACGCCTTGACTCTTTAATGTTTTAAAGAGGCAGGCTTAGTCTTCTCAACAGATGCAGGATACTGGTTATATCTGCAGTAATGCCTTATTCAATTTCTCATGCATTCCCTATGTGACATAGATACTTTTTTGGCTTGTCATTTTCTTAATATACAGTAGCATCAATGTTACCATTGTGTGTTCACATAGTCAGGGTTAGGTGACCAAACTGGTGTAAGTTAATATATAAGATATATGAGCTGATTTGAGTTGATTCATGAACCGACATCACAGCACTCAGGGCATTCCCATAAGTGCTCTGTCCCCATCTTCAGCAGCCAGCGAAGAGTTCTGATACTAATGGTGCCAGTAGCATTCTGATTAAACAACCTTCTTGCCTTTCCTCTGAGCCTCGAGCATCTGCCAGAACCTCTCATAGCTCATCAGATATATGAGACAAATCAAGTCAGGGACAGGCTTTGGCATTCACATGTGCAGTCAACTGCATAGTTTACACAGAGTCTGATTCAGCAGTTGGACACAGTCAGTACATTTCAGTCAAATCACAGCAACCAACATAAACAGTCAGTTGCAGTAAACTTTCTTGGGACCAGCAAATAATTTTTTTTCAGTTCTTTTTAAAATGATAAGTTATACTTTAAAATATGCAATACACCTTCTCCTCGACTTGTGACTTAGGACCACCTGGCACTTTTGACCACACACAAAAAAAAAAAAAAAAAAAGTAAATAACGAAAGCTAACTACATTGGTGGTAGAGAAAACAAATTTCCCAGAACTGATGCCTAGAGTGCAGCATAGTCTAGATGTCAGAGTCTGTATGACCCCACCATCTATAGTACACTGCTAGAACTGCAGGCCTCCCACTACCTGGCACTAGTGTTGCCAGATTGTTTTTGGTGGTCACTGGCTTTGACACCTGCTTATTCTGGACGAAAATAAAAAAGGGATTTCAAATAAATTTCACAATTTCCTGGACATTGTCTGGAGAGTTAAACTGGTGCGGAAGGGGATTGTGCCTAAAGTGCAGAACACACCACCTTTTTCTGTGGGCATTATCTAGTTTTTATCGTGGCCTAATAATTCACACCCTTTTGCTGATAACTGTCATTAGTTGACTTTGTTTACCTTTATGTTGACTGCGTATGTTTAACAGGCTTGATTTATGTACTATTAATATTTGGTTTCCACACATTTCTTTCAGATTGCCAGGACGTCAGTCTGCCATTAAGGATGTTATATCCAGATTTGAACGGGGGCAGAAAATTAATTTTGAAGAGGAAAACACAGATGTGCATATAGTTGCGTCAGTATTGAAAACATTCCTTCGAGACCTGCCAGAGTCTCTGATCCCTTGCCAATTGTTTCAAAAGTTTATGAACATTGCTTTACGTTTTATGGAGGAAGCTGATGAATCAGCTAGAGAAAAATGTGTCCAGGAGTTGGCCGATTCCATGAAACTCATTCCAAGAGACAATTATGTTGTACTGAAGTACGTTTGTCGCTTTCTGAGAGAGGTAATTATGATAATAATATGCTCCTTCATTTTCACTTGAATTCTTAAAATCCCTCATTCTCACATGCATTCTTAGAATCCTTAATTTTCACATGTATTTTTAGAATCCTTCATTTTCACATGTGTTCTTAGAATCCTTTATTTTCACATGTATCCTTAGAATCCTCAGTTTTCACATATTTTCTTAGAATCCTCCGTTTTCACATGTATTCTTAGAATGCTTCATTTTTACATGTATTTTTAGAATCCTTCATTTTCACATGTATTCTTAGAATCCTCAGACCTACTCATTCCATTGTGGGTTCCAGGCCCATTTTAGTGGGGGGAGGGGGGGGGGGAAGAATATACCCTCCCCCACACTGCTAACAATCATGTCGTTAAAGGCTACTAATTAGGGATATTTCTTTCGAAATTGAAGGGCATGAGAGGTGAGGAATCAGCAGTCTGCTTACAAAGAAAGCCAAATCTGTAAAACAAATGTGCATGTTAATCTCAAGTTTCCCAAAGTTCTAGAACAGGACCTTAGCCCAGAAGTGGGCAAACAGTTAGAACTTTCCGCTGGTGTCTGTAGCCAGCAGCATGAAAAATAAGAAGAAGAGCCATCCCCATCTTCAGCTGCTGTACAAAATTCCAGTTCAAATGGTACCGGGAGCAGTCTGATTGTGTGTCTGTCTACCTTTCACCTGGGTGTTGAAAGTCAGCCAGATCTCCTGGTCACTCCCAGCTGCACCATTATCTTCACACTGTGGTGATCTGTTTGTGTCTCCATGCTGTTCACTACCTCCCAAAGGGCCTTGATCCTTATCTAGCTTGGCGTCCATTGGTTACCACCCAGAAGTGCAGCACAAGCCAGTCTGTCTGCCTGTTTATTTCCAAATACAACTACTTACACTGGAGAAAGTATCCAAAGGATGCTAATGACCCAGGATCTATGAATGCTTGATAATAAGAATTGATTACAAACACTTAAGATTTGATAATAATTTGTTGGAGTTATTTAGGTTTAGTTGTTATTAGTGTGGGATTCAGTCACCAGTGATTGCAGGATATCTTTGCTTTGCTGACCAGTCCAGCTGTTAATTGATCCAGCCTTATACAGGTACAAGTTATCTTTGGAAACCAGAAGACTGCAACAAATAGAAATTGGTCTTCTTGCCAGTTCGTTGCTATTAATGCCAAACCTGGACAATGAAAAAAAAAAAAAAAAAAAGAGAATAGAAAAATATTACAACTCAAATAAGATTCCTGCTTAGGGCTCAGAAGAGATATGAAACAATTAATTCTAAAGGAAAATAGAGGTAGTAGCAGCTCTGTATTTCATTAGAAAACAACAAGTGAAATTATTAGGCCATATAACATGGATGCCAACAGTGTACCACAGCAAGCAGTGATGTTCAGACCAGGTGGGAAGCGAAAAAGAGGTAGACAGTGCAAACAGTGGAAAGAGGGAATAACAGAGTCTCTGGGAATCCCAGGTTATAAAGTGCACAAACAAGCACTTTCACCACAAATTGTACCTCACCTCAACATCTCAAGGTACAGGAGGATCAAGATGAGATGAGACAAGAATGTATGGATGGTTTATCATTTATACCTGACTACGTAATACCACAGATCTGTTTTTCCTTGTTCTGGATTGAACCGATAGGACTGCCTTGTTAAGAGAGAGACTAAGCACCTATGGATCTGTCGTAAGTAAACTGACACTGCCTCTTCACAAAACATTAAAGAGGTAAAGTGTACACACTAACCTGAAGATGGCCTCACACCAACCGCTAAGCTACCTTGCCTCCAGATTATAGCCCATAACTGTGAAATAAGAAGTTCCATCACGCAGTTGCTGAGCCCAGTGCTTGGTACGACCTGTCAGCTTTCATGTGGAATGTTTTCTTCCTTCCGGTAATGGTTTTATGTTGTGAAGTGCACTAAAATGGTGGGGTGCCTAATTATGTTTAAACTGGCATGTACTTTATACGGTATTGAGAGTGCATATGCTAATTTGTCCATCAGCAAAGAGTTTCAGTTGTGCTAGGGGTGGGGGGAGACTGTTAATGTTGGCACATTAGGAGGCTGCCTTATGCATTTACTATATGTGTGTGAACTTCTTGGACTGATCTGTTTTCACTAGTTTTCACATGAGACAAAGACAGGCTTTTCGGTGTGATTTCCGCTGGCACAGGAACAGAGCAATCATGGGGTTACCTGTTTGCCATGAAGTTGGAACCATGACTGACTAACCAACCAACCAGCCAACTAGTTAGTTAGTTAACTAGCTAATAACTAACTAACATTGCTTGCTAGCTAACCAGCTAACTGACTAAACTCCAACTCTTACTAACGAACTGACTGACTGACTGACTAACATAACTAGCTAGCTGAATAACTAACCAACTAAATAGCTAACAAAACTAAAAAACTAACATAACTAACTACCTAAGTAAGATTAACACAATGTGTTTTTTTAAATCTGTTGCAGGTTGGGCTCCATGAACCCACCAACAAAATGTCTATGATGAGCCTGGGAACAGTATTTGGTTACAACCTGATCAGGCATATTGATAAAGAGAATTCACAACTCTTTCTCTGTACAGCTGATCTTGGGCAAAACCTAGTCTACATGCTGCTAAATTTTTATCCACAGGTACAGTCTAGTTTTTGTTTTCCATTGTTCTTTTATTAGGGTACAGCATGTTTGTTTTCCCAGTTGTTTTATTATTAATTACAGGGAATATCATTTCCTTATTGGCAGATTTTATCCATCAAGCAGTGATGTACACTTTAACATGGTTGCATTAAGTAAATTTGGCAGTGAAGTATTTCCTGCAGAAAATCTCTCTGTTGTCTTACTCTGCTGCCTCTGGAATTCTGGGTAGTGAATTGGATGCTCAGCCTTTTTAGATAAGGGTGAAAAAGGCGGAGATTCTGTTGTGCATATTGAGCATATTAACAGCCTTTTTACAGTTGGATACCCTAGATTGTTGACCACATCACCCATTGATTGCTGATGTCGACCACATAACCTACTGAGTGCTGATGTTGACAACATCACCCACTGAGTGCTCATGTTGACCACATCACCCACTGAGTGCTGATGTTAACCAAATTACTCACTGAGTGCTAATGTTGACCACATCACTCACTGAGTGCTAATGTTGACCACATAACACACTGAGGGCTGATGTTGACAACATTACCCATTGTGTGCCACTTTTAACCCCATCACCCATTGATTGTTGATGATGACCACATCACTTACTGAGTGCTGATGTTGAACACATTACTCACTGAGTGCTCATGTTGACCACATAACCCACTGAGGGCCGATGTTGACAACATCACCCATTGTGTGCCACTGTTAACCCCATCACCCATTGATTGCTGATGTTGACCACATCGCCTACTGAGTGCTGATGTTGACCACATCGCCTACTGAGTGCTGATGATGACCACATCGCCTACTGAGTGCTGATGTTGACCACATCGCCTACTGAGTGCTGATGTTGACCAAATCGTCTACTGAGTGCTGATGTTGACCACATCGCCTACTGAGTGCTGATGTTGACCACACCACACACTGATTGCTGATGTTGACCACATCACTCACTGAAGACCGATGTTGACCATATTACCCATTGTGTGCCAGTGTTAACCCCATCACCCATTGATTGCTGATGTTGACCACATCATCCATTAAGTGTTTATGTTGACCACATCACCTGCTGAGTGTTTATTTGACCTCATCACCCATTGAGTTTTAATTTTGACCACATCACCCATTGAGTGTTTATGTTGACCACATCACCGATTGATGCAGAGTTGCTGAACCATGTGTGGTGCTTCACGAGGGCCGGGGCTCATGCTGGTTAAGACCTATCCACATCGCTTTGTAGTCATCCTGGAAACAGGAGCCTAGCCAGTATAGATTTCACTTTTGGGCTCATGGGTGACATTTTTGTGAAGATCCTTGGAGATCATCAATGGAGCTGTGGAGTTGATGCTTTGTGCAACACTCCCGGCAGAGGACTAACCAGTCTGTGCAAAGAGACTGAGCCATGTGGTATAAATATCTAATGCAGGGAAGTTGATCCTCTCAGCTTTAACTTGATTAACTATTATTAATAGCAGTGCCTACCACCATTTTATTCTATGTACTATTTCATTCCCTGTTTTAGCTTGATTAACTATCACTAATAATATTTTGTGGTATTTCCTTTTCAATAGGTCTTCATGCTAGAATACAGTGACAGAGGCAGTCTAGGTAACAATGTTCCAACTGCCGACTTGCTGCGTATGTCCCGCATCATTGACACCCCTGCTGCTCTACCGCTCAATTCATCAGCCATACTGGACCTGGAAGGGATAGAATTAACTATCGAGTCAGCAAGCAGCACAGGATCTAGTGATTCTGTTAAAATCACAGAGGACTACTACTCACTTGAGCACAGCAAGAACAATTGTGATCTCAGGGAAGGAGCTTCTGATGCTGAAAGTGTGTTTGTTCAGTCAGCTGAGTTTGCACTTGAAAAAAAGAGAAACCTACGGTTGGACCTGAAGGAGCATGCAGCGATTAGCCGATCTTTTAGCACACCTACTTCTCCAAACACAAGCCCCAGTATTCCTCCAGTGCCTCCAAGGCGAACAAAGTCTAAAATAACCAGAAATAGACTTATAAGTAACAAGAAAAGGCCAGAAGCTGCAGTGTTTGATACAAATGACCAATCAATATACGACTTTGGTTCTTCAGAGGGAGTTAACTCTGATGATATATTAACTGCCCTTGCTCAAGTTACTGTTCACAATGCAGCCCCATCAGTCTTACTTAACTCTGTTTCTGTCACCTCATCTCAAGATTCAATCACATCTGAAGATCATTCCTCTGCTGAATCCAACCTAAAAGCTTCTCATGTCACTGAGACTGATGGAAAAGTGGGTCCCAGTGTCAGTGATCTCCATAACCAGATTACCGCACTGAAGGAAGAGTTGTCTCGGCAGAAAGACCACTACAGAAAACAAGTCACAGCTTTAACAGCACAAATCGAGGACATGAAAGAGAAATACGAGCGTCGGATACAAACAATGGAGGTGGAGTTTAGGTCACAGATAAGAGAACTGGAGAACAAGCTGTCTAGCGAGCAGGAATCTTGTGCTGCTGCTATTGCCAATAACATCAAACTGAATAGTGATATAAACAAATACAACATGTTGTATGGTGACCTTCTTTAATTAACCAATTAGAATAAATTTTTTTTTCTAAACAGGTGTGTCGAGATCAATGAGCATTTACCATGTCTTAAAATGTATTTTTGAATCCTAGTATTTTTGATGATCTTTAACTACCAGGTTACTATTAAGTATCCTTGAAGGTAATTATCAACTCTAAAAATCATTAGCATCCACTAAATGGCTAAGTTTTCTAAGGGTTCAGATCCGCATTAAGGCAGTTTATATCTCAAAATTGACCTTGGCTTCTAGGTCGACCCAGCCTCAGATAGGTACTAGGTAATGTTTTAGGAATTTAAAACAAGTAGCCAAAGAAGAATAGTAAACCAACACAGAACTATTGTTATCAGTCACCACAGGCTGAGGGATATACTAAAGATGGGATCTGAGCGCTTGTGGACTTGTCCGATGTGCAGTGAGGATAATCTGTCAATCAACTAACTAACTTAGGAAGTAAAGAAGGTCCAGCTGGTGCTGACCATATTGCCCCATGACACCCGTGAATCTGGCTTCATATGCTAAGTGTGCCACTAATGTAAAAAGGGGGTTCATTTGCTTGTCACCTAGTCTTTTGATGTTATTGAATTGTCAGTTTAGTATCAGGCATTCTAGAACAGCAGTATCAAATCGAACTTGCATCAGCATTCACGAATTAGCTTTGGGAGTCATGGTAGACACTTGCCAGCTTACCTGAAGATTTAGGGTTCAAATGTTCAATTTTTTCAGCAGTGGCCTTAGCTATCAGTTCAACCCAGCCTAATATGGGTGTCAGAAAATGTTTAGGAAGTAAAGAAGCCCAGCATAGTGTTTACCACATCACCCAACTAGCGCTGATTGGTCACAAAATATAGATTTGACACTATATGTCTAGAGGGCCGCTGTAGTGTATCCGCTAGCTGCTCACCTGCGGATCAAAAGATTGTGGGTTCAGGTCCTAACAGAGCCGGGTTGACCCAGCCTTGAATGGGTGCTAGGTACAGTCCTAAGAAGTAAAGGCAGCTTGTGTGATGTTAACCATGTCATACACTGAGTGCCAAATGTTCTCTACAATATAGGTATGCCTGAAGGTGTTTAAAAGGGTCCTTTACTCAGCTACATGCCTGAAGGTGTTTAAAAGGGTCCTTTACTCAGCTATATGCTTGGAGGTGTTTAAAAGGGTCCTTTACTCAGCTATATGCCTGGAGGTGTTTAAAAGGGTCCTTTACTCAGCTATATGCCTGGAGGTGTTTAAAAGGGTCCTTTACTCAGCTACATGCCTGAAGGTGTTTAAAAGGGTCCTTTACTCAGCTATATGCCTGAAGGTGTTTAAAAGGGTCCTTTACTCAGTTATATGCCTGAAGGTGTTTAAAAGGGTCCTTTACTCAGCTATATGCCTGATGTGCCTGTAGCTTGAAAAAGGTAGTTTACTTTACACATTTCATATAACTTGTTAGTCTTTTACTTTTGATGATCTTTAATTAGGTTAATATTTATATCATTCAGAACATAAGTACGCATTTAGAATGCATCAGCTACACACACACACACACACACACACACACACACACGCATGCACGCACATATATGTACGTATATATATATGTGTGTGTATATATACACATCTCTGAGTACCAGATTATTATCAGAAATTCATGAACATAAGTATCAGATCTAAAACACACATGCTTTATAACTAAATTTATTTCTGTTAGTCTTCTTAGTCATTCTTGTACTTTTGATGATTTTTAATTAGGTTAATATTTATATAATTCAGAACAAAAGTTTAAATTTTAAGTACATCAGCTATAAATATATACATGTATGTTTAGCTACATTTTTTGGTTAGTTTGAAATAATGTCAACCATACAGTTGAGTTTATGTTTGTCAGCTTGGTTTTTTTTTTTTCTGGGGGGGGGGGGGGGGGGGGAATTTTAATGATTTCTGACTACCAGATTATCATCCATAATTCTTGAACATAATTATCACATCTAAAGCACACATGTTTGCCACTTAGCTAAATTTGATCTTTGTTAGTCTTTTTTTTTGAATTAACAATCATAAAGCTGAGTTTATTGTTGTTAGCTTGCCATGTACTTTTAATGTCTTGTTTTTTTGTTGTTGTTGCCATAACTGCCTTTTATAGTTTAAAGGGAGGAAGGAAAGTTGTGGTTGGTGGGGGGAGGGGGGTGAGGGTCATTAGGTTCAAGGATTTAGGCCACTTGGCTAGTGCTGCCTTGTTACTGTGGAAAATGTTAATTTTCTTTAATCAGTGTAGGTCATCCAGGCAAGATATGGATAGATGGAATATCTGAGGCCGCAGATACTAGCATCTGTGAAGCACATACCAAGGCCCGCACCTGATGCCTCTTCCAGACCTGATGCTGAAAGGCAGAACAGGGCTATAAAAAAAAAAAAGAAGAAGATGATATAGGGCATCTTTGATCATAATGTTTCAAGTGTATTTATAGTAGCCAAGTATAACCCCCTCTTAGAGCATAAGACAATCCTGATCAGCACAAAGAAACATTTCATACAAAGCTTATTTATTCCCACTCTCTGCTAACAGTGCCAGATGTGGTCACAAACCAATACAAGAAAATGAGTAACTATGGAAATGAGATGTCTTAGCAAGGCTGCAGAAGTGACCAGACGAGATATAATCATAAATGAAGTCATAAAAGAAAAGCTGACACAGAAGCAATTTGAAATTACAAAAACATCAATTAGCACCAAAAAAAAAAACAAACAAACAGCAAAACAAATATAGTTTGCCCACTTGGAGAGAATGTCTTGTGACGCCATGTCATACAAAGCATACACCAAAAGAGGAGAAGAATTTAAAGCACAAAGTAGACTAAGAACAAGATGGAAAGATAATTCATGGGGTGCAGTCTGAGTTGTGCATACATAGCGTAGATGAATGGAAAGACAATAAAAGAAGAAAGTCAGGTGTTCAGTTCAACTACTTCTAGCATGACAGTAGAAACAGCAGCTGTCACAGGGGCACTTAAGTGGCTGGTGGAGCAGAAAGCAACTCACTTACATTTTGATGGTGACAGACCAATGAGCATGCCTCTCGTCCCTTTAAAAAAAAAAAGGCCATGAACCTGTTGGAATTCCACCAATCTCTTTAAAAAAAGTTCTAACGCAGGTCACTAATACATTAAAAAAAATACATTTGTCAGCGTTTATGGGACTGTGTCACAGTTGGAAGTTACTAGATGTAGTCTTCTGAGAGTGACAGGGTTAATTAGATTCAGACTGGCAAACTCTACCTAGAATGAGTTGACATCATGCAGAATTCCCACTTCAAGAAACTATATAGGCTGTACTCTCCAGGATATGTCGGGGTGGAAGGAAGTGAAAAGCTGCCAGACCAGCCATGCCCACAGTAGTTAATTGGAGAAGAAGTATGGACAGGGCGGACATACTGAATGTGCTGCATTCCATGAGATGTTTAAACAAAGGAGTCACAGATGATAATCTGACGATTGGAAACTGGTATTAAATGAGGCAAGCATGCTGGCATCAGTTGCAGAGCATAGAAAGATTTGCCCATCAACTACTACTGGGTACATTGAGCATGGAGACACAGATGACTACTGCATTGCAAGGTGAAACACGAATGGGTCAGACCCCCATCTGCTAGGATGTTGAAATGGGCAACAACAGCTTAGGGTGCTTATTTTAATTGTAATCATAAATAAAGAGTGGACAGAATGTTTACAAGTATCTGTGCGGGTTGTTTATCGCATTGTTGAGCTTCCTAATTATAAATTGTGTTTAGTCAATGCATGTTAAAAATTAAAATAGTATTTTATTGTTATTATGCTTGGATATTTTTGAGTCTCTTGGCTGTTTATTAATTTTTGTTACCTCTGTGTGGGTTCTGGGGACCCTTTTTCTGGAGTAAAAAGAAAAGACCCACTGCCCCCTCCCCCCAAAGCCTGTTATAAAAGTGACTAATTAAGGGTCTATTGTAATCAGATGTCTTCAGCCGAAAGGCCTGAAATGGCAGCCCAGCTGTTAACCATAATGTAATGTGCTGACTATGCTCTGAAGGATCACCCCAGAAGAAAAAGAAGAAGAATGTGTGTTATGTACATAGAGGAGACAACTATTTTTATATTATGGCCGATGTTATTTTGTTTGTTTGAAACAAATTGTGTGATATGCTTCTTGTGTGTTTATTGTTGTCTGCCAGCGATATGTGACAACCCATTAGGATACTTTTGTTTTAATGTTCTGTGATTAAAAATATACTGGTGTCTTAAGATATTGTGTCCATGCCACTGAGTGTGTGGAGAGGAGCTTTAGATGGTCATCAACATCATCTTGTAGCAGGTCCTTTGCAGAATGTCGCTGTCATCACGGTCTGCCTTAAGAAACTCGGTCTCTCGCCAGCTCTCCCACCTCATGTACTTTCATACCAAAGGAGTCACTTATATCCTGTGCCCATCTTCATGTTGGTCGGCCCCTGTCCCTCCTTTCTGGTACCACGCCCTCTGCTATTATTTAGATAATATCTTTAGAGGGTACACACTTTATGTTGTTTTCGTATAAAGCTGGTTTAATTCATGAAAAAGGTAACAGTTAAAAATTGGACCTTAATGATGATTTCAGCTGCATGGCTGGTGCAGTCACTTTAAACTGTGCAGGTTAGGGTTTTTCTGTTTTGCCCCCGACAAAAAATGTCCAGCCCTAATCGAGGATCAAAACTGGGTCTTCCACATGAAAGCCTAGCATTTTAATCACTTGGCCAGCCACTCCGATCACAATAATTGTTCAAAATGTTTTCACTATTGTAAATGTAAATTGCAGACACAAACAGTATATTGCAGAATTTTTGCCTGGCATATTTCACTGTAATGCATCAAATGCATTATTCTTCTTCTTCTTTTCTTCTACCTTTTACCTTCTCGAAGTGTCGGGGGGGGGGGGGATGTGATGTTCGTTGATGAGCTCTGTCAAGAGCACTTTTAAGGTTGATATTCATTTCTGTAAGGCTGTTCTTAATGCTGTC